CCCGTGTCTGGAATGCAGCAGGGAGGAACTCCCGAACGTCGCTTCATTCTAACCAGACCCCATTTCTGCCACGTATGTCTGGGTTGCACATTTTGTTGCGATTGTCCCCCCTGATGGCGCCGTGCGAGCGCCGCAAGACTGCCTACCCCGAACTTGTGCGAGGCTGCAGCGCCTGGTGTTGGGCAGCGCACACCCCCGAACTCGTGAAAATAGTTGGGCGAGTGTGCGCCGGAAGGCATCGCCCATCTCCAGAGCTCGCACGCCACCCGCGGGTTTGGATAGCGCCACTATTCGACCGAGGCGCGTGGCGGGTATGATCGCAGTTGGCACTTGGCCGGAGGCCAGTTTGCTATCCGGGACGAGCTCCATTCGTCGATGTCAAGCGCGTGCGTCTGCCAGCATGTCCCCCAACGGCGGCAGGTCACCATGAAATTGTTTTCTTTTCCGCGCTCGCCAGCGGCATCTCCAAGAGCGATGGGGCATACGCGCTCTCTCCCGCCAGCAACCAGCAACTGGCCTCAAGCGCTTCTCGCCCCCGAACCGCGGCAAGTTAAAGTGTCAGAACGTGACCGACTCGGTGTCCATTCTCCAACCAAGGCCGATCACGACCGGCCAGCAACGGCGAGCGGCCAAGAGCTCCGGGTGCGTGTTTTGGCGCTTGCGCCGGACCGCATCGAGATGAGCGCGGGCCACATTGCGTGGTGGGCAACCTGACCTGCTTGATTGGAGCCTTAGCACCAAATTTTGCACTCAAGGAATGAGCGTGCGTGCCCGGAAGTCTGCAAACGCTTCGGCTGGAGGAAACATCCCGTTGCATGCTGCCTACGCACATGCCGCACGTGATGACGCCTGCTACGGGCGGAAGCAGGCCACCATGGTCACATGTACCTCGAGCTAGTCTAACCACCCACAATCTTGGTTTTGCACCCGATGCTGCAGGCGGCCGTTCGTCAGTGCACCATGGCCAGAGCCGAGATCGGCTGCACCCCATTGCACTACATTGCACCCCATTGCATCCCCCCTTCGCCTGTTTGACTTTCTGTGCTTGCCAACTGTCACTGCCCCCTGCAGCAGGCCGTCGCTCGCGCAAAGCCCTCGGCGACCAGTCGTGATCCGCTTGTCGTGCTGCGCCGCTTCTGGTTCCTGCGCTGGGACCTGTGGATTAGCGAGAGGGACGTGCGGTAAACTCTCGCAAACTGCCACGCACACTTCCTCCAAACTAAACCTCGCACTTTCGCACCACCGCAAACTCGGGAGACGACGCCGGGACGGGGGACTACCCTGCTTGCTACCGGTTTGCTTTCACCCTCGCTGCCCTGAGCAGCGTAGGCGCTCTGCCGCGCCTTGGAGGGCACTGAAGCAGATCCGCACTGATGGGCATGAACCGTCGATTCAAACATATTTGTCCCCAAGTCGATAAGACAAGTTGGTCCTGCGATACTCATGATGTTTCAAAGGGAGGAGGTGGGGGTTAAATTCGTGTTATGAATACTAGCGGGATCCCTTTTGCTGCTCAGGATTCTTGGAATCGCTTCTTGCTGAGGATGAGTTGGTCTATGACACCAACTGATATTTATGTCCATACTTCAGTTGCTTTATTCATGCTGCGGCAGACACGAGTACATGTCGGAGCCCCTTTTCAAGTTCATCTAGATATGTCCATGGCTTTTGGTTAAACGACTGCTAGCGTACAATGGCAATAGCCCACACAAGTCAAACTCTGAATTAGACTCGGCACTCCCACATTCAGAGTTTACATACGTTCACGGGTTTGGTTAGCTTACAAAACTGTGGATCACTCTCCCAATTTTAACCGTTTGCATATGTTCACTTGCTTTGTTGGCATACAACATTGGGGATCAGGTATACCCATGAAACTGAATTTGCTAACTAAAACGCGATTCTTGTGTTGCAACTCAGATTAAGCAACTTGACTTACATAATGAGCAGCTTGACTTACACAATGGGCGTGCAATTCCAAAGCGGGTCTAGAAATGTAATTCAACTTGATTACTATTTTATGTGTTGTAATCAGGGACTCATGTTAGTTACATCAATTGCAAGATCAACAACAAGTTGCCTTCTCCTGGCATAGTATTTTGTTTTTTCTGGAAAAACACCGTACAGAAACAGACTCTAAACCCTAAACCCTACACCCCCATGCCAGGGCGACGTGGGAGCCACAGCTGGCATCGGAAGTGTCATGGCCGCTGCAGAGATCTGGAAATTTCAGGAATAAACGGTTTAAGATGGTTTAAGGTTTAAGGTTGAGGGTGTCTCAATGGAGGGGGTGCGCTGGTGCTAAAAGCACCCAGGCGCGCGCGCGCCCCGACTTGTGGAGCCCCACCCCCGCTTGCGCTCCACCCTCACCTTGAGCGTCGCGTGTGTAGGAATCCTTGCTTTCTGATCGTGCTCATGTAAACAATCCTTGTTTTGGGAGGCGCCCCAAGTCACCGTGTCCGAGATTTGCGGTTGGGGTTGGGGGTTGGCTGACACCTTCGCCCTTGGCGTTGCGAGTCGTTGCGAGAGATGATGCACATCCTAACAGGGCCTGGTCCGTATCTTGGAAGTGAGAGGTTTGGGATTGGGGGCTGGCTGCCGCCTTCGCCCTGGCGATGCTGCAAGCCTTGTCGGTTTGGCGTTGCAAGGCATCCCAAACAAGGCAGGGCCTTCCAGGCAGGGCCGTCCAGGCAGAGGCCTCCAGGCAGGCAGGGGCCTCCCGGGCAGCGGCCTTCTGAGGGCCTGCCTTCAGGGTGGGTTCTCGCTCCACGAAACGACCACGGCCAGAGGTGGGGCTCCTCCCGGACAGGCCCACGGAGACCGAGCACCGGTACCTAGGGCGACCTGACGGAGCAACCTGCCGGGTCCCCCGCGCAGCTGGGCACCTACGGGACTGAGAGCTCCTTCAGGGTGTAGGGTTGGGAATCCACGAGTCCTCCCAAGTTGAAAACGGAATTTCTAAGTCTGCTTGATTAGCACAGTTGAGGTCAGTTCTCTCTTGTTTGACAGGCCTATACGATTCTTAAATGGTTGGTACATGAAATAGGAGACGTATTCATGTTTAAGTGTATGTAGGACTAAGGCTAGCTTACGAAAAAACACGTAGAGGGCTTTCGAGCACGGACGCTCATCAAGCACATCGGCGCTACATCGGCTGTTCCAGAAGCTGTCCTCCATTTTTCCCCATATTCCGCAGATCTGTGAGTCATAGCTCCGGAGATTTGGGAAGATCCGACGCTAGGAGCACAGTACACGGGAGCAGCACATTTATCTGATGTGGACACTCGAAATTCAAACTCCCAATAGCTGTGGTTTTTGTGTTTAATCTGTGCGTGTCAAAAGGTGTTCCATGTGCAAATTCAATTACACAAATCAAAACTCCAAAGTTTTCTGGGAGAACCTCCGGCAAGGATTGGATCTTTGGGCTTGTGTTCTGCTGGATACTTTTCTTTGCCTAAGCCCAAGAGAAAAAACCTATGCAAAAAAAAACTATGAATGAGATTTTCCAAATTGTGCTTGCTTGATCTTGTTTGGCTAGATGCATTCTCGTTTTCGCAAAATACGTTCCATGGTTGGCTACGCTTGTGCTTTCCTAGGATTCTCTTGGCAAACTACAAGGTCTACAAATCCGAAAACCCAAAAACTCAAAGATCCAACCATCCAACGTCGCCGAGGTTCTCCAAGAAAATGTTGGATTGGGGGTTTCGAAATTTGTGGTATGTTCCAAACTCTTCACATTCCACGCTGGCTCACTGGGGAGGGGGTGAGCATCTACTATGTTGCCACAATGTTGCTTTGTCCTTTGGTCCTTTGGCAGCTTGGGACTGCATCGGCTTTTGAGGTCGGTGCCGAGAGCGGGTCTCCTGCTCGGCTTGCCAGGCCCTTCAATGCGCAAAGCCGTGGCCCCACAGAACCCCGCAGAATCCCACACAGAGTCCACGGCAGAGACGAGAGTCGACGGTAAACGTCAGCGCGAGCTTCCATGCCCTGCACTGGGCAAGGCCTTGGCAGCGATGGCGACGCTGGCGACGATAGCGACGCTGGCGACGCTGGCGACTCTGGCTACGCTGGCGACGCTGGCGACTCCGGCGCCTGGCTGCTCCTTTCTAATCTTTCAACACGTGCTCACCAGGTCAGTGCTTCTGGCGGCACATCAGCGGCACAAACGACATGGCACAGCAGGCGAGCTCCGAGTCAGCCATGAGCGAGGACCTAAATGCTGCGGCCGAGGAGCGGCACGCCGAAATGTATGTCATAAAACTTACGTGTGTTCCTCGGAAACTCACCCTCAGAGCTTGCGAAAGCATTTGACAGTTGCGTGGGGCCTCAGGAGCCATTCACATCACCTGGGCACTACCGGCAACATCCGCGTGCAGTTTAAAGGTTTCGGTGTGAGTTTGGGGGAAAACATGGTACGAAAATTCTGCTGCTGTTGCAGAAACCATCAACATCTCCTTCCCCCCGCCGAGCCACTATCCCTAAACCCTAAATCTATACTAAGGGGGTAGGGGGTAGGGCAGGGTCGGGGAGGTAGGGGCAGGGGTAAGTGACCCTAAACCCTAAACCCTAAACCCTCTGGTTCCTTCATGAGCTTGCCGTGTCATGAACGACACTCCCTCCCGGCCAGCTTCTACAAGATCTCAGATCAAGCCATGAAACATCAAGAAACTCACAGAAACTGACAGAATGACCATCGCTTAGTGACATATTGTGATTTCAAAATGAAATGTTTTCAGAATGTTGTCTAAAATCTTCATTTACAAGAATAATCACATTCCTGACACACGTTCACCGATTTCAAAGACCAACTGACTTACCACCTAGGTAAGCCTTCCGTGAAATTTACATTGAACCCACTCAAAGAATGGGTACTGCTTCACCCAGGTCATGGTGCAACATGGTGCGAGTCTTCAGGGCCGATGGGGTGTGATCGTGTAGGGGATCCCGTGTGGACCGTAGTGGTGCCGAGCCCCCCAAAACTAGTCTGAAATACAGGTGTATCATACTGTCATCCCCTTGCAATTAAGCCACTGGACCTGTCTAAGCACACCTCTTCTACTTATCTGAGTCGTACCAGCACCTTTTGCTTGACTAGGCTTCTGCACCAGCATCTCGTTGCAGCGCGGTCCACCTACTACCCATCTCAGGGCGTCCAGGGTTCCGTCAGTTGGCGAAATGCCTTGAACAAGCATTTGCCGGAACAACTCTTCTGCAAAGGCTTTCTCGGTTAGGCCTTTCGGCGATGCTGCTGCGCATGCTTTCAACAGCTGATTGTATTGGACCACGGTGGCCGCAACGCCGCGTCGCTGCATCTCCCCAAACCATCGAGCGGCTGAGTCAACATCTCCCAATCGGGCATGCCCATTGATGAGCGCACTGTATGTTTGAAGAGTGGGCTGACGCTGCATGGAGTCCAGCTCTCGAAAGTAAGCTTCTGCTTTGGCCATGTCTCCAGCTCTCGCATGAGCCTCGACCAAGGTCGTGTATGAAACTACATCTGGGGACAGCCCGCTTGCCAAAGCCTCCTGGAACCATTGCTCGGCCAAGTCCGCTTTGCCTCCCTTAGCAGCCGCATGAATAAGAGAAGTGTACATCACCACGTCTGGTCTTATCCCCGCAGCAAGCCCTGCCCGGAACCAGCCCTCGGCAGACTGCAGGTCATCCATCTGAGAGGCGATGCTGATCATGTTTGTGAACGTTACCATGTCTGGGCGATGGCCAGCCTCGATGGCTTTTGCAAACCACCGCTCTGCTGGGCGGAGGCCACGCATGCCCACTGCGTTGATGATGGCATTGAAGGTCTGAAGGTTTGTCCGGAGCCCGACCCTCTGGATCTCTGCAAACCACTCCTCCGCCAACTCCGCTCCCTTCCCTTTCCCTGTTGAATTGCTGCTCTTTGCACAATTCGCACAAGCCGTAATCATGGCATTGTAGAGGGCAATGTTTCTGCCCAGCCCATGTTGAAATGCCATTTCTATCCAAGACTCCGTGGCCATCAATCCCTGCTTGGCAGTTATCTGGGCAAGATTGATGTACGTGTTGATGCCAAACGTTAGTCCCATTAGCCGGCGCCCATCCTCCACAATGGAAGTTGCAAAGGTATGCTTTCCCTGGCGTGCCGCAGTCTGCGCAAGTGAGGCGACAGAGGCATTGTCCAACTGAATCAAGTGTTGCTTTGCTGTGTTAAACCACCGCGAGGCTGCAGGCACGTCGCCCTTCTGCACCACGGTCTTCAAAAGGGTCTTGAACATGACGCTGTCCGGCCGTATGCCCTTCGCCAGTGCAACTTGAAACCAATGCTCCGTGGCGTTCAAGTCATTCACGCGCCCAGCAGCGTTCATCAATATGCTGAAAGTCTTCCGGTTAGGACTGATACCACAATCCTCACACCTCTTGAACCACTGTTCCGCCGAAGCGAAGTCCTCGGACCTCACAGCAGCACTGATGATGGTGTTGAAAGTGACCTTCACGGCGCATACTCTGCCAGCATTCATTTTCTCTGAGAACAGCAATTAACTAGGAAGGTTCTTGATTCTGCACTAAGCAGCCTGCAATCTGAAGCACCAAGTGACTAACTAGTAACCTGGATGCACTGACACATATTAACACGGCTCTTCCACGCTGATTCAATGTCTAACAAATAAGGCTCGCACCAGTGTCGGCTGCAGACCCTGAGAAACAGCTCGTTGAAACCAGAACTCCGCAGCCGACAAGTTTGCCTGACGAGCCGCTGCATCAATGACAGCTGTGAGAATTTGGATATCCAGCTTTAACTCCTTTGAAGCTTGCTTGAGCCACTCCTCTGCACTCGTAAGATCCCCTGCACGCGCTGCAGACTTGATCAGTGTGGTGTACGTCACCAAACTCGGTTTCAAGCCCTCTGCAGCTGCTCGTGTAAACCAGTATTCAGCTGCCTCTGGCACACCAGCATTAGATGCGGCCTTGATCAAAATGTTGAAGGAAGCCAGATCTTGAGCCAACCCTGCTGGAACTCTGCTCTCAAAGAACGTTTCAGTCATCGACAAGTTGCCAACAGAAGCAGCAGCATTCATCAAACGTCGCATTGTGTCAATACTTGGGACATCCTCAGCTCGCCGAAGCCACTTCTCGCCTGCATCAAGATCACCCCTGTTGGCTGCAGCCAATAACAAAGCTTCATAGGTCGCAGTGTCTGGAATTCTCTGGCAAAGCGAGTAAAGTACCTCTGCTATCTCCAGGCTCTCCTGAGCTGCCGCTGCCCGCAAAAGGTCAGCAAGTGTTGCGGCATCAAGATCTGCACCCATTTCTGTCGCTTCGGCAGCGTATTGCGCAGCAGCTTGCAGATCTCCAAACTTAAAGGCGGCCTCGAACAACAGCGCCAGGGTTTCCTTGTCAGGGTCCACTCCTGCCGCCTTTGCGTTTTGCAGCCAGCGCTCGGCTGCCCGCAAGTCGCCTTTCTTGGAAGCCGGCTCAATGAAGTTATTGTAAAACTTCAGATCCGGCTCGAAGCCTGCAACGTTCAATTCCAAAAACCAGCGTGGCAAGCCATCATCTGGCCCACCGGCAACACTGCCTCCTTCCTCCCAGTCACCAGCCGCGGATGGATCATGTATTGGCCGTGGCTGCGGCAAGTTGATCTTGTCATCGAGATTACGCTTTGCCAGCAGACAGCGTGTGGACAAGGTTCTTGGCGGAGATCGGTGGCGGTGGAGGCATGGATCAGTGCTTTGGCCTCCACGAACGAAAGGCAGCTGGCCATGCCACGTGGAGCGCACGCAGCGCTGCAACGTGGGAACGATCAAGGCGATGCCGATGAGTCGGTGGTATAGGAGTCTCTTATGCTGCGAATCGCGCATCCTCAGCCTCCAGAAAACCCCAGCCAGACAGTTCCTTTCAAATGGCTCAAAAGCTATCTATGGCTTGCCTCAAAAGGTCATTCGACCGCATGCTAGCAAGGCTAGAGGCTGCCATGTCTGGAAGTGGAATGCGCACAAATTCACAAGCCTGTCATTGAAGATGTGCATCTTTTCACATCATATGATGAACACGAGTTGTGGCAGAAGTCATGGAACTCTTATGCTTCGAGCCGTCGGCAAGAACTCTCACTCTTTGATCTACGTGCGAGTGGAATTGGGGATGAATCTTGTCTAAGCCTAACGGTCAACTCAGCGTCGTGGAAAGTCACCGCGTTCTGACTACGCTGCTTCGACCGGGCTGGGACAGGCCCTAAATGCAAAGTTCAGTTGCAGTTGAAACCCAGGCTGTTGGCAGCTGGTATCTGAATGGATGGCATCTGAACGCGATGTTGTGTCAAACGGTCGCACGACCAGAGGGACAAGTGGGTCAGACAATCTCAGCATCTGCTTGTCGAAAACTGCCAGTGGCCAGCAATGCCAGAGCTATTCAGAGCCAACAACTCGTCGCAAACTGTACCATGGCAGTACCAAAGTAGTACCAAGTAGTGTCAACACCTTGGCTCTGGCCCCGTCTCGCTCAGAGCATGCCACAAAGCCGAACACTCTGTACAGGAAAGCGTTCGAAAATGAATGCGGCAGTCAATCTCAGCCTTGGTGATGGGAACTGAGGGAGTTAAACGCGGCAAATAGAAACAGAAGACGTGTGCGTCCTTCAAACTTACTTCAAACATCCATTCGATCCCTTCATCCATCCTTTCAGCGCTGGGCTCCGTGCCACCAGGAAGTCTGCCAAAGCTCTCTTTGAGCATGGCATCAGCAAGATCAACACCAGCACCTCGCAGGCCAGCGGGCTATGAAGCATCAGCATGCATCAGCACAAGAGCTTCAGCAACACTCCAAAAGCGAAACCAAAAAGGAGTCCAAATACAGGAGAAAGCAACTGTAAGCGTCGCTGACCGAGAAGCCACGTGCCCAGTCTCCTGTCGCTTGCCGGCTCTCAGGATTGGCTCAGGATTGGCTCAGGATTGGCTCAGGCTTGAAATATCCGTAGTACAATCTTGACATGACAAGTACGAGCAGAAAAAGCAACCAAATGTAACAAGTATGGCTGAGCTACTGACTACACATGGCTATGTGCTGGCGGGCTCCTGTCGCACCCATGCACACCTCACCATCCCACAGAGGCTCTGGACCCGCTTCTGCAGTGCTTTCGTAGCCGAGAGCACGGACCGGGAACTCCCCCGACGGCCGCACCCCAGTTAGCACTGCCTGCACACGTGGCAATCTCGTGCTTTGACGGCTTTTGAACCGTTCATGTGTAGGGTCGGGTCCCTCGTACTTTTCTGAACTTGTCAAGCGATTCAGCATGGTGACGAACCTGTTTCGGACCCCGGCTGAGCGAAGAAACTGCATGCCATGACACGCCATGGAACTTAGCAAAGACAAATAGTTTTTTTGACAGAGAGAGAGAGAGAGCGTGTGAATCCCAAAACCACAAGCACATGCCTCAGTGTTGTTGCCCCAACGGCCACTCAGCACGAATGATGGCTGAGGGGGCCAGAAACCCAACACCTGCTCCAAAAAGCACATGAAGTCGTAAAGCAGCACGCGCTCGACCTCTTTCTTAGACCACTGCTTCCATGTGGCCCAGGACTGAGTGGAGAAAACCATAAAACACTGTGGAACGCGAGCCCGCTCAGGCTTAGAGCTGTTCACAGCAATCCACGCTAGCGAACTGTGTCCCTGAACAACGGCTGCATCCCAGGGCATGGGCAGCTCACGATCAAAAGCAATCATGAGGTTCCAGAGTTGCGACGTCTTCGTACGGCCAGAGAGCTGCTTACGCAGGGCCGGCGTCACAGATGGCGCAACCTGTTTGTATCCAGACTTACAGCCTTGTAAGATCTTGTTGGCCTCAAATGCCAGCACGACTGCATCAAAGCTTCTGGACACAGCTTCTGTGGCACCCTGAGCCAGCTCAGGACGGTATCGCAGTTGTCCAGCGTTAGCTTCGGCGCGGCTCCACTCGACCCCCCATCGATGTGTTTTTGGAGAGCGACCAATAACGTGCGCCGTTCGATCAATGTGGGTCTCGAGATTCCAGCACTTGTCTGCCAAAAAACGGCCTATAGAAGACATCGACGGAACTCCAACAACGAGGCCGTCAACTGGAACGTCAGCAGAGGAAGTGATTCTGCATGGTTTGTTCCAGTCCCTCTGCATGCAGGAGATGCGCTTGAAGCGGCCTGGCAGTGGCCAGGGTTGCACAATGCTTTCGCCACCTTCATTCAGCAGGTCCGCCAGTGGCCCAGCCGGTCGCAGCAGCTGCACACCCATGTCAAAGTGAAGGCTTGGATCATCCTTTCCATTTACGAACTTGGTGCACAGCTTGCCACCAAGACCACGGCTTTCTTGGACTAGGGTCACCTGCATGCCAGCATCGCACAGCCTCCGACAGCAACCCAATCCACTTGGCCCCCCTCCGATCACACAAACTGACCAGGGATTTGACTGCACCAATGGTTTGCCCCCCTTTTCTGGACAATGACCTCAGCTTGTTTTCGCAAGAAAAAGCGTTTGAGGCTTTGATGCAACAGCGGTAAGAGCTGCTTGTTTTATGGCTTTGTGCTTTCAAGGCCTGCGGGGTCAGAATTGGCGTAGCCACCAAGATCCAGGGGTGCCGAAACATCAGCAGCTTGGCTCTTCCAGCGTCGCTTCGGCTTGTGAGGCTCCATGGCTTGAACTCAAGTATCTGCTATCTTCGATTATCCAGATTCAAACGGGGTCGAAGCCAGGCTTTCTGTTTACGTAAATTGCTTGAAAGCGATGAAGGATGGAGATGGCACGTTGTGCACTGACAAGCTACTGTCATTTCACAGGATGACTACTCAGATCTCAACAGCTGGGCACCACAGATATGTGCAAAGCAAAGCCGCAAAGCCGAAAAGCTCGCGTCCCGCTGTATAAACTTCTACAAATTCTTTAAACGATCTCGCCATCTATAACAAGCCTGAGCCTCGCTTCAGGCTCAGGCTCGCTTTGTACAATCTGCCCTTGAGGACCTCGAGAACAGAGTCGAATGGTCAAACTATTTACAAAGCAACGGTGGCCTACTTCGCGTTACTTCAAATTACTTCGCTCACTCGAATCTCGGCAGGGCCGAGGGCCTGACTGGGACCAAAAAGGACAACGAGCGCAACTGATCTGGAGAATGTTCTGCGATTCAACAGACCGTCACTGGCCTTTTGTGCAAGCACTCCGTTCGAAGCCGGACCCGCAGTGGCCGGCCACCTGTCCTGACCTTTGTAGTTGCGCGAAAGGCACTTACCTGCTCATACAGCACAGAGCCACGCGAAATGTCCACAGCGCCAAGAGCGCAGCGAACTCTGAATCCAGAGCTTGGCAATGTGCCACCAAACGGCAACACTTGGCAAATTCCTGAAGCTCCCACAACTCCCGACCAGGGTAGGCAACAGTTTAACACTCGCCTCGAAGGATAAACTCGTCTTGCTGCCAGGGTTTGCGATGGCCCAAACCTGACAAGCAGAACACCAGATGACAAGTCAAGGTGGCAATGGTCGAGGCTTGGTTGAGGGGACAAACTACTACAGTAGTACTGTAGCAGCACTGTCAAGATGCTCCTGCAACAAGCCTGATTCGTTCCGTTCGTGGTGAGATATCTGATCTTAGCCTCAGCGCCTTCGCTGACCTATGTCTACTCGGCGCCACCTTCGGTTATTTCTTTGCTCTGTGTCTCACTCCTGCCATACATCTTAAATATGAAAATGTCGTGTGGTTGCATTGAGAGCTTTCGTCGGCAGGTGCCCAGCAGTTGCTTCGGTACAAAATAACATGGTTCACACAAGCATGGCCGCAAAAGCTGTGCAATCATTGCATCACAACAGCACTTGCACTAATTCAAGGCATTTCAAGGCTAAGCTTGGAAAGGGTGAGAATGAATGTCAAGGACCTGCCTGCTTCAAAGCTTCTCGCGGAAGTCTCGATTTCCAGAGAAATTGCGAGACTTGCAAGGCAGGCTTTGAGCTGGAAGAACCTCAGCTGATGCAGTTGTCTATTCGACCATGTAACGGGAAGTCACCAACCTCTTCCTCTTCCAAGTTCGCTCTTCTTCTGAAGTGTGCTGCTTACTCTCGTCTCTACTCGAAAAAGCACTTATTTTGGACTGCACCAACTGCACGCGGGCCAAATCAGCCAAGCAACCATCCTTGATGGCATTGAACCATGAGTGATATGCTTCCTGCAGATGGCATGAAGAGGACCAGCCAGCATGTTGATGCGGCGGGAGCTAAAAAGACTGACCATGGTGCAACCCCAGGCTCCCACAAGTGCGCATGCGGTACGCCGATGGACACCGTCCCCAACCCGCCCCGTTGCACTGGAACGTGGAAAGCACACCGCTTCACACGCTTACCTTACAATGATTTCGCTATACGACACTTGGGTGCTGCATCGTGTCCTGCTCATCAGATGACCAAGGTTGAACTGCTTCTGCTGCAGCGGGTCGGAGACTGACCAGCACCAACATGTACGGCTGGCAAATACTGGCAAGTCATGTTCTGCAAGGCTCTTTCCTGCTCGGACCTCTGCTTGGAAACGGGCGTTTGGATTAATCGTCCTTTCTCGTCGTTTCTCGTCGTTGGCCCATACTCCCGTGCGTCTGTCGGCTCACGAAACGTTGAGAGAAAAAAACACCTGGACAAACGGGGACTGGAGTCGGCCTGGAGGGGTTCCCCCTTTGCTGTCGGTGCACATGCAAAGGTACGGTACGAGGCGCATCGGTTGGTCCGAACATCTCAGCATTTGCTCTTCTTCGAGAGGCGCGCTAACTACACCACAGGACCGGCCTCCCTGCAAAGACAGTTTACGACCATCCCATCCAAAGTCGTGACCAGGCTGAGGCACTTCAGTTCCATGCACGCATATTCACACAATCCCACTCACTGGGTCTAACCTCCCCCTCAGCCTAGCTCAGCTTCAAGCATGGCCTTTCTGCTCCAAAGACCTCCCCCTCCATGCAAGGTTCATGGCATTGGCACCCCAATGTCGCAACGCTGGCTAGGCCCGGCTATGCGGCTCCAGTTGTAAAAAAAAAGGTCCAGCTGCCACAAGCGCACGCAAGCGCACGCAAGCGCACGCAAGCGCACGCACGCAAGCGCACGCAAGCACATGCAAGCTTGGATGCCGAGCTCTTTGTGCTGGGACGGCAGCTCCTGCAAAGCATTTTGTGTCTTATTTATGTCTTCTTTGCGTCTGTAAGTGTAAAAAGTTCACAGAAGTCCACAGAGCCCTTGGGACAAAGACAAGCGCAGAGTGGGGCGGCCTTCCGAGCAACGCTGCCATCTCGGAGCAAGAACTCCGCTGTCACCTTCTGGTCTTTTACCTGAGTCTTCATTGGGAGGCTTGATTCGGCTTGATGCAAATTGAGAAAGCGCCCCGCCCCCCTCCCTCCCCCCCCCCCCATGCTGCAAAACTTGACGCTGGCAGGCGCAAGACATATTCCCCGGCCTGCAAAACTTTGCCTTTGCCCCACCTTGGCGTTGCAAAGGGCATGGCGTTCCGTGCATGGCCACTGAGTCAACGCGCGACAAGCTTAAAATACTGGGTATGTGCTTGTGAAAGTGCAGGGCTTTCGGGCTTAGGTCCTTCGGTTTAGTGTGTACCTGTTGGGGTTTCGGCATGGCTTTCAGGGCTTAAGGTGACAGGTCTCTGAGGGTTCATCGTGACTCAACCGAGTCTATGTAGGATCACATGCGGCTCGCGAGGCTAAAGAAATGAATGATGGTTCAAAGGAGGCAGGGCTTAGGGTTTGTGCGTTTAGCGCGCCAGGCTTTGGAATTCTTAGTTTCAGGGTGTGCGGTTCAGGGATTTTAGCGTGCTTAGGGGGTGGGCTCAAGGTTCGCCGCGCCCTCCTTCTCAGTACGGTCCAGGCGCAGAGAGTTTAGGGTTTGGGTTCTTTTCGGGTGTGAGGTTCTATCGGAAAGGATGGAAGCAAAAGCTGCGTGAGATGAGGCCTGCATCTGACACACTTGGTGCAGCGGCTGCTAGCCGCCACTGCACTCAATCACCACCATACTGAGGACTTGCCCCCTGACCCGTCAAGCTTCATCCACTGTTCTTGAACAGTACTGCTGTGGCCACCACACAAAGCAACGACTGATCTTTCGCAAAAGCAGCCTCAGTGGCTTGAATATCTTGCACATTCTTAAGTTGTTCCTGCAAGGCACTGCCCGTGCCATGGGCAGCGTTACCCCAGGTCACAGCCTCAACCCGAATGGCAGCGAAAGCATCAAATAACACTGCTGCCACCACCCAAGTCACGACAGATCCACCGTCAAGCATGGCACCGCCATGAAGATTGGACCTGCCTTACATTCTGCAGCCGATCTCCCACCTCACTGCTGTCACCACCAGAACTGGCCTTGCCCCACAGTACGACAGACAAGAACGGCAGCAAAAGCAGTATCTGAGTTTTGATTCTTCTCTTCAGCGTCTCCTTGGTCTCGTCGTCACGTTCTTGCCGCTGTGTAGTCCGATGTCCACATCAAGGACATGCCGCTTATGCTGCTAGCAGGAAGTTCAACATTGGTGGCTCCCGAACCCCTAAACCCCAAAATCCCCGAACCCTAAACCCTAAAACCGTTCACATCCCAAGATATCCCAAGCTCTGAAACCCTTAAAGCCATGCATCCCCTTCACGTTTTGACTCGGCTTGCGGCTCCAAGTACTTGGTGGCCCCGAAGCCAAACCCCCGCAGCTGAAAGCCAAAATCCTAACCCGACAGGCCCAAACCCGAAAGCCCTCATCCAAGGCTGCTTGATTGTGCTCGTGTGTGACACAAAATGCTGCGATGTGCTGCGGCCAGGCTTCGCTCGCATTCCATTGCTCCACACTTCCACTTCATCTCCGGGCTTGTATACCTCTTGTGACGAAACGCACTCAACGAATCTAAGCAACTCTGTGACAAGCTGCATCTCTGCCGTACCCTGGGCAGCCCACGAGGGGTCCTCCGAGGGACGCCGGTCGTTCCCAAGTCGACTCACCAGTCCTCGTTCCACTGGATTGGGAGATTGGAGAACGGGGTCGATTGTCTTTCCAAAAACGTGACCTTTGAGCTGCTTTGGCGTGCCTGGCTTGGCTGAAAACTACTACTTGTTCTTGCCTTGTGCTGCTTTGTCGCCCATGCCTCTCCTCGTTCTACATCATGACATTTCTGCAACTTCCCAAATGTTTGCCGACTTCAGTAAGAAGCCTCGCTGCTGGATTTGCTTATCGTCCGGCAAGAAGGCTGCGGCAAACAATAACATCTGGAAATGCCTTCGTCATCTCATCTTTGCACTGGCTGCCAATGTCACTGGTTCTGTCTTTGACTCTGCCCCCTACTCAACACGAACGACAAGCATACCAGCCCGACAGGTGCGAACCAACTCAAGCACTTCATGGCGACCCAGTACAGTGCACTGTGCTGTGTGTCAAGTCTGTCCTTGAGTTGTAATAGTAGCTGTGACCTTCAGGTGTCTTTGCAGCCTAAGCGGGTAGGACACGGGCCATGTCCACCCACAAGGAAGCAGCCAGCTGAGCTGTCGACTTTCCATTTGTCTACTCCTTCGCTTTTTGCGACCTGGATATGCTTGATCAGACAGAAGGTGACAAAGCTCGTCTGTCAGAACTGCTGGGCTCTGGCATGTGGGTAGCCGCCACCTGATGTCCGCGGTGCCCTTATGCTTTGCATCCGATCTGCCACCTGTGTAATCGGAGCTCGGACACTCTCTGTGACTAGATCTGTCAAGCATGGCAGAAAGGCGGTCTTCATGTCATCGGACACTTCGCCTGCTGCCAGCATCCTGCGGACTTCTGACAGAACAGTACAGAAGCATGTCGGTGCAAAGAGCATCTCTGTGACCAGTCGCATCGCATGTCAACACGGACGTTGCTGCTCCAAAGACGGTCGCATCGCAAGTTCTTGCCGTTTCTTCTACAGTCCGACCTCACCTTACCGCCGCCTGTACTGTACTAATGCCTAAACTCAGCGGTGCCGTGCAGAGGAACAGGTTCGCTCTAGGGGGCGGCTGCCCATCCAAACAGAAGCCAGAACATCTGCCACAGCATCTGCCAGAGCCCAAAGCTTATGCCAGAGCTGAACGATCAAAAGAGGCGAACAGCCAAGCTAAGCAGGGTCAGACAATCTCGCACAAGCTTGCATGCGACATCATATTGCATCAAAAACATGGCCATGAACATATCAGCTCCTACGCGCATCTGCATCGATATGTGCTAGGACCTGACACAAGCGCAGCTTTCAAGTGGTAGATGATGTCAGGCACAATTCCAGCTGGAGTCCAACTGTACCCGGCAGCGCCTTTGAACTCTGGAGGCCAAGAGAAGCCTGCAGCGGCTTTGGGAGCTCTCGGAGGCGCTCCTGCACTGTACATCTGAGTCCGAATGATCCATTGTGATCCATTGTGACCCATTGACACCTTCGAGTCTTTAGAGTCTTTGGAGGTTTCCCCCAACTTCCTGAAGCAGCTGGTTCTTCTCAAAGACTGCGCACCAACTGCTTGCCATCAGCAGGTTGATGACCTGCATGTCGGCTGCGATGACAAAGATGCAGAGAACTAAGTTCAAAGCCTTCTGTTGCGCCAAACACAGCTGAACCTCTGCAACTCCGTTTATGTAAGCCGGGTGTTGCTTGACCAAGCTCAGAAGGAAGTTGAAAACCTTGGTGCAGGCAGCGTTTGTTTCACGATCTCATGCAAGTCACCCTCACACTCGAGAACCTCGAGACCACCTACCATTCGAGGGACAAAGCGCTGGCATTTTTCGGGAAGTTCAGAAAACTGAACACAGCGTGGCCGTGGCTTCCAACAGAGGAACTCTGGGCGCGTTGTCGAGCTCTTGGGAAAACAACTGGTCATCGCCAGCACAACGGATGCAGCCTCTTGCTCTGTCGAGCACTTGAAAGCGCACTTCAAAGAGCAACACACAAAGGCGGCTCACAATGCTCACATAGCAGGGCTAGGATGGGCTAGGTGACCGATGCGCAGCTTGTTCAACGCGCTAAGTCCACAGGAGTCCATTTTCGAGGGGTCATCGATGGCGCTCGCCGCATCGATGCCTTCCTGGCGTGTTCTGCGTCTTTCTGAGATTTAGAAATTTAAAACAAAACCCTTACCCGCCTGAAGCGCAGACAGGGCCGGATTGCACGCTGTCTCTGCGGACGCTGCTTCAGGCTCTTCTTCCTAAAGCAGAACACGCATCAAGCAGGCACAGCGCATGTTGAGGCCATGTTAAGGCCGCAGCAGCTGCCACCCATTCATCCGACTCCGCTTCCTCCGCTTCCTCCTTCAGCATGAAAAAGTATTCGGGGCAGCACTTGGACAACGACACTCGGTTGTAAAAAGGTCGTTCGTTCTTGTCCTTTCTTCTGTGTTACATAGGGCGAAAAAGGGGCAACTCCAGTCCTTTATCGCATCTATCATCCGCTCTCTTTCAATGGCCAAGCGCACCTTCAGTGTTCGGGCAGACAAGGCAAAAACATGCGCACACTGTGGAATAACCGTGGAGGACATCCCACTCTTCCTGTTTCTTCCTCCGATTTGTTCTGGTGCCTCTTCCGGGCGCTCATCCATGCGCACGAGAGTGACTGACTTCAGCGCGGCTGGAGCAATGGACTTTTTCAAAACCTGCACATGTGACATGTACGGCATTGTAAAGCTTCTGCTCATATGACGGTGCATCTCAGCTGCCTCATGCTGCGCGCCAATGGCGGACTGCAAATCCTGGCAAGAACACACAAGAACACACCCTCATTGGCGCAGCATGGAAAATGAGTTGGAAAGTTGGGCCTCATGGAGCGTCTGCACTTTCTCATGTAGTTCGACATCGGCCTCCCAGGCTGACACCCAGCTGGGGACTTGCATCAGCTTGTTGAAAACCTGGGCAGCTCAATCAGGCGCCGGATGCCAATGCCACAACGTCGAAGGACAGCAAAGAGCAAACCCGCCTGGATGATCAATGATCGAAAGAAAGGTTTCTTCGCCGCAAAGGCTATCAGAAAGTTCCACATCAATGGAGCATGCTTTGCCTGCCAAGCGTTGCCAAAAAGTCACATCCAGGAACAAAACCGGAAAACTTACATACTGACATGCGAGGCCTGCTCATCAATCTCCTGGACGGAAGCTTTCAAAACCTGAGGACAAAATGCCCAACCCACATCCAAAAAGAAGCAAACTCAGCAATGGTGATGCCTGCTTTTTGAAGTCTTGAAAGTCGCCATTTGCAGACATGATCCGGTCTTTGGCCAAGCACTCCTAGCAAGACAATACAAATGCAGAAGCAACCTTAGACGATTCACACGGCCCAGCCTTGTAAACCTCCCATTTTGGCCACACAACCATGCGGTCACTCTACCATCAATGTCAATAATCTTGCTGTCGTACGCAAAGCATGCGAGTAGACAGAGGCTTGGAACAGGTCAGGTTCTGCACCCAGCTGTCTTGAACATGCATCACAACTGGGACGACCCAATGCGAGGTTGTGGCATGCTGACCATGGCAAAGCATCTCATGTAATGCATATAGGGGTCCAAATTAGAAAAGCTTGTGGATGTTCAGGCTTGCTCGGGCCAATTCCAGCGATGAGTGATCTAGAAGGCAGCGGCCTCCCACTCGATTCTTCTTTCAATGTCATATCATGCCGACTTGCATCAGCAACAACAACTGTCGCTCCATGTCGCATCATGATCACTTGCAGGGAGCCCAACTGGCGGGTTTTGGCTTGAGTCTTGGGGGCGTGTAGTCTCAGATGTAGATTGAATCAGACAAGGAGGCGAACATCCGCCCTCATAAGTACATTGTCCAAGTAAAGTAGGAATCAAATGCTCCCAGATTGCCAGAAGGATGAAAACTGGATCGCCGCCATTCATGACAATTTGACATATGCAGTCCGAAGACACGCGTAGTCAGGGCTCTCCCCATTGTGATCTACTGCAAGCAGGGACAAGTCCGAGCCCGGACTGGCGTTGTTCTTCATCGCAGGGAGAATCTGGGGTGAACTTTGGGATTTGCGGCTTCATTCGGCCCTTCTTGCCGAAAATTCTAATTTTTGGGTCAATTTGACGTTTGCAAATGAAGCTGAGGCTGAAGCATGCAGGGTTCTTCCAGTCCCGCACTACGCATTCCAAGGTTTTAGAACCTTTGAAACGACATGCTTGACCCCAAACTCTTTTGTCAGGCCTCCAAAACATTTCTTGAAACTACTATGAGTGGTTTTGAGACGTAGGACACTTGCCCAGAAAACATTGTTTAAAGTCGGGGGGGATGTATTTATTGCGGTATTAATTTTCCAAAAGTTGGGCCCCAGACCGATGGCCTCCGGCAGGGTCGGAAGAGAGCGAAAAGCGGCCCACTTGTTCAAATTGGGTTTCCCGGCGCGGCCATACCCATGCAAAGGGGTGGGACCATTGGCCACGAATTTAGGTGGGGGGAATTGGATCAAGAGGGGGATTTAGGTCAGCTTTCTTCTAGACCAGGCAGTGCAAACACCCTCCCAGAAGAGACCAGCGCCCGCAGGATATGTATTCAGGATGGCTGGCAGCCATACTTCCTCCCTTGGCCCTATCCATCCAAGCCAAGCACAGAGCGATGGATAAAGGTGCGAACATGAGGGTGGCTTGCTGCCCATAATTAGCTAGATTACTCTTGTTCGTCCAGTTCGTCCTTGCAAGACAGGCAGTATCTTGCGGCAGGGGCTGATTGAGCAGAGCCTGATAATCCACGACCGGCATGCGTCCTGTCACGGGCGCGTCTTCTTGGTGCATGAAATCCTGTTCCATCCAGCAAGGGTGGGCTCCAAAAAAGGCTCATAGCGGTGCACGAGCCCCATGGGAGGGCCTTGCCATAGGATCGCAGTTCCGGATCGGTCGCGGCCCGGTGGTATTAGCCTAAACTGTGCGGGAGAACGTAGAGCACGTGGCGACAGGAGAATGTTGAGCCAGTATCCGCTGTAGTAGCCGAGTACGGTGGCTGCTGACGGAGAAGTCCGTAGCCTGCGGCAGCAGAACGTCCACGCATTCCACTGAGACGTCTAGCCCAAAGTTTGGAGCTCCTCCAAACAATGTTTCATATCCCACAGACGTGGACGGCCCGAAAAGAAACACAACACTCGTAGCCCCAACTGGCAGCCGACCTTGCTCTGTCAGTTGCTTGAGTTCTTTTGGCTGGGGGTGGCCCAGTTTGGTCAATGCGGTACGCGCGAATCTCCAAGAACCTGGCCATTTTGTTTCGTGGATTGCCGCGAGTCACGTTGGCCAAGGTGTTCGGGTCTTTCCAGAGCGGAAGTCCGACACTGAAGGTTGCTCAGGCCGCGAGGCCAATTGGCTGGCACAAACACCCACCCCACACCCGACAACAGACCCAGATCCGCGCTCGACAACACTCACCCACACACACACAACCAATCAGTTGTCTGTCAAATTCTTTGGTAGACTTGGGTAAAAAGGCATGTGTACATCAGTTTGTTCGTTGGCTGGTACGCTTTGCAAATGTGTTGAGTCGGACACGCAAAAAACTGAATTTTACTGCACCATGCAGTCTTTTCGACCAACAAATACAGACAAAACTGACACAGCACAACTTGCAATTGCAGCTGCTTGTGGTCTGTGTTGAAAACTTGCAATTTCAGCCGCCTGTGTAGTTCGGTCTCTGCGTAATCAATCAATTTTACAAAAACATTGTAAGTTTTTGAATAGTTGCAAACTCAAAGGTTAAGTTGCAAGAAGAGACAAGTTCAAATCTGGTTACAGTTACAACCCCTGGTCCGTCTGACTCGGAAGGGGGAACAGTAACCCCGGCTGGGTCAGAGTTCACCCCTGTAACCTGGTATTGGGGTTTTCCAAGCTGCATGAAAGCACAAGAGGAACTCTGGATTCGCGGTGGCCGAACGTTCTTGTTTACCACTTCTCTTCTTGGGCGCGACACCTACGCTTAGGACTACGTATTTTTTGTTAGCCCAACGGCACGCAGAATTGAGTATCATGCTGACATGAGCACGATATCTTCTATGTTTGCATTGCAAGAGCCAACGATTGCACGGCTCACCGTCTCGCCCAGCTCCCCCTCAAATGCCCTCCATCATTGGTGCCAACGAGGCGTCCTTCTCCACCTTCGGCCCGTAAGGCCCCCTTACTGAGATCTTCAGCGGACGAAAAAGGGGGGATGGAATTTAAACTAATTTTCTACTTCTCTACTTCTTCTCGGCTTTTCGAAAAATGAACACAAGAAACAACAAAACAAGAAACGAGGGGGGTTGAATGTAGATGAATGCTCTACTCCACAAATTTTTGAGAAATGAACACAAGAAACAAAAACGAGAAACGAGGAGGATGCAATTCAGACTAACTCTACTTCTCTAGTTACTCTCTATTTCTCAAATTTTCGAATAATGAACACAGGAAACAAAACAAGCGGGTGGAGCTTAGATGAATTCTCTACTCCTCTGATTCAAATGGAAAAATCAAACATCCTTCGCGGACCTTCTGCTACCACTACACCAGTACTTCCATCACTACTTCACTTCCACTTCCACTTCACGCATCCTCCTACTACTACTATTACTACAAGTACTACTACTACGACGACGACGACGACGACGACGACGACTACTACTACTACTACTACTACTACTACTACTACTACTACTACTACTACCTACTACTACTACTACTACTACTACTACCTACTACTACTACTACTACTACTACTACTACTACTACTACTACTACTACTACTACTACTACTACTACTACAACTACTACTACTACTACTACTACTACTACTACTACTACTACTACTACTACTACTACTACTACTACTACTACTACTACTACTACTACTACTACTACTACTACTACTACTACTACTACTACTACTACTACTACTACTACTACTACTACTACTACTACTACTACTACTACTACTACTACTACTACTACTACTGCTGCGGTGCAAATCTGTGGTTTGCCCGCGCCCCTATTCTGGAGGTACACAAAATGCGCAGGCGCGATGTTTCCGCGGTTGAACGTTCGCAAACATTATCTTGTTTTTCCTTCTTTTTTTCATAAACGACCACCCTCTGCGGTTTTCGCTGGGTTCCGTAATTTTGGAAGGGGGCGGGTTGTCCGCACTCTTTGTCTGGACGCGATGTTTCTGGCCTAGGCCGCCCCCCTACAGAAGGGGCGGCGCTTAAGCCCACGGCGAAAGTCGACCCAGGTCGCTTGCCCGCCTCCTGCAGCCCACGATGGGCCCGGCGTGGGGGTGGTCCCTGGCCCGCCCTTGGCCCTTCCTGGCTCCTGGCCGCCCTTGACCCTAACCCCCCCCCAACGCCCTCGATCACGGAAAGGTTTTTTTTTGAAAGTAAACGATTGTCATGAGTTTAGGCCTAAACCCCAAAAGGAATCGATTTGGGTGGTTTTGCCGCCTCGGACAGCGTGGGGTGGGAGACAAGTATTAGTATTAGATGGCCCTCCACAATCGGGCCAGAACTGGTTTTCGCACCTGACGGGGCATTCGAGCCGCTGCGGCATCCAAACCTTCACAGCATCTACGCCCTAAGCCCTAAACCCTAAACCGCAACCCTAAACCCTCAACCCTAAACCCTAAGCCCGAACCCTAAAACCCTAAAACCCTAAAACCCAAAAACCCGAAAACCCTAAAACCCTAAAAACCCTAAACCCTAACCACTAAACCCTAAACCCTAAACCCTATGCTGGACGGCTTGGGTGTGGGCAGACAGACCCTTCGGCGCGTACTCTACTACTACTACTACTACTACTACTACTACTACTACTACTACTACTACTACTACTACTACTACTACTACTACTACTACTACTACTACTACTACTACTACTACTACTACTACTACTACTACTACTACTACTACTACTACTACTACTACTACTACTACTACTACTACTACTACTACTACTACTACTACTACTACTACTACTACTACTACTACTACTACTACTACTACTACTACTACTACTACTACTACTACTGCTACTACTACTACTACTACTACTACTACTACTACTACTACTACTACTACTACTACTACTACTACTACTACTACTACTACTACTACTACTACTACTACTACTACTACTACTACTACTACTACTACTACTACTACTACTACTACTACTACTACTACTACTACTACTACACTACTACTACTACTACTACTACCACTACACTACCACTACCACTACTACGGTGGATGGACGAAATCTTGCACCACCTGTACATGCATACTTCAAACGATTGGGGCATCAAGCCCCGCACCCCCTGACTAACATTGGTGGCTGGGACTACTTGAGCGGTGCAAGATTTCGGCC